ATTCTGTAGACAATGGGGAAGCATTGAAAATTCTGGGCCTGACTTTATGGCATCACAGCTCCTTTGCTTGGGCTGCAATTGCCCCTTCATAGTCAGGCACAGTGGACCACACAACCACTTTGCCCGATGTGGCACTGTCAGGCCCGTGCTGACAATTTAATGTTATCATTATTAGATGATAATTTCATAGGGCACATATGTATTTTATTGATTTTTCTCAGAGAGGAAGAGAGGGATAGAGAGTTAGAAACATCAATGAGAGAGAATCATCGATCAGCTGCCTCTTGCACACCCCCTACTGGGGATGTGCCCGCAACCAAGGTACATGCCCTTGACCAGAATCGAACCTGGGACCTTTCAGTCCACAGGCAAACACTATCCACTGAGCCAAACTGGTTTCGGCTCGGCTCATATTTATTCAAGGCTGTGCTCTGTGAGCATTCTGCTCTCCTACCTCAGGGCTCCTCTGGAGTCTGCCTGCATGAGCCAGAACATCCGCTGCACACATATTTCACAGACCACTGCCCCGTTCCTGCTGGCCATTGTTTATCCTCCAGCCGAGGCTCAGGAGATTATCCTCCAGCCAGGCTCAGGCTATTTGGCATTCCCATCTCTTTCATCTATTTCTTGTGAGGACAGATTTCCAAAGAGACAAGGTTTATATAACCCATAGAAAGGGGAAGTCAGCAGGGAAATAGGTGAGGTGTGGGGAAACAGCAGAAATGTAACCACAGGCCCTCTGCTCTGGGCAGCTTCCATGAACCACTGAGTAAGAGGGAACAGATCTTTCCTGAGCAAGGAAGTAGGTCAGATGTGGAAGAATCTCCTGGCTGTAATCGTCTGTAGAGGTTGTCAGAGGTCTTAGACTCTTACCCAAGGCTGGGGAGTAGACTGAATAGATCCTAAAAAGTATTTTAATCTCCAAGTGTTTATGGAGCTATCAAATTATGCTCAAGGACCGCTTAGTCCAATCTCCCATTGTCCATATGAGGAAACTGAGCCTTTGAAAAGGGAAGGGACAATGAGGGATTAGGGCAGGCTAGACCTGAGCACATTGTGAAGGAGCTGTAGATCCCCTACAGAGGAGGCTCTAGAGAGAGAGCCAAAAAACAAAAGCTGGCCCTTGTCCTTGGCTTTGTGTCTTCACTGCCCTGTAGGATTTAATGGGCCCTCCTAGGCTGAAAGGCTTCCCAGACCAGCAGCTGCCTCTGGAATGGCCTTGGGACCAGATTCAATTACATCCAGCCCCTCCCTAGCCAAGCAGCCTGGCTTTGTCCATCCCAGGGGCCTTTGCTGCCCTTTGACTCAATGTTCCCCACTCTGGGCTAGGCTCTAAGCGGCCTGAATTCCTAAGTGCATGACCCCATGGTCAGCATGGAAGAGTGCCCACAGGGGCCCAGCGCAGGGCTCCAGGCAATGAGTAGAATAGAAGACAATTAGATCTGAAGAAACAGAGGCAATCAGGCCTGGAGTGGGCCCAAGCCTGCCCAGGGTCACACAGAACATCTGTGACAGAGTAGGATAGAAGCCAGGCTCTTGTCTACCTGCTGAGAGCAGAGGACCAGATGCTGATGATGACCAGGGCCTCCCTCGGTAGCCTGAGGAAGACCATCCTTTGGGTGGTTAGCCCCATCCCTGTGGGTCTATCCCAGGATACCATCTAGCTTGGCCATGGAGTGGAGGATGCATACTGCAGAGTCCTATTTGACAATGACAAGCAATGAACTAGACAGATCTTAAAAGTTTGCATTGGCTAAAAACTCAGGAATCAGAATGAGATGATAAGACAATATCAATTATATATTTTAAGAATACATAAGCACTGGAGATTTTCTAGAGACACAAATATTCCAGGACATATCTAAGTGTCAGAATGAAGGTTAAAAATTTTTATTACAACTATTACTGGGCCTTTCATAGACCAAAGATAATAGTTAGTTTGCTCTGAAATGAGAATTATGATTAATTTCATTTTCTGCACTTATAAAAACAGGAGTCTCCACAAAAAGTTCTCATTGGAACCCACTTAATAGGGTCTCCAGTGCCACATCAAGAGCTGGGTTACTCCATACATTCTGAATAAAATATCCCAAACCCTTCTCAAATCCATAGCTTGACTGTGGTGATATTTGCATTTGTCAAAATTTGTCAGACTGTGACCAAAATCTGTACAATTTAATGTGTAGATGAAATTTCAAAAATGTTCTTTTTTTTTTTTTTTTTTTAAAGAATGACAAGAGTTCTGGGAGGGGTTTAGGACCTAGGATCTCCTGGAGCTGCCCCAAATCCCTGTGTGACTGTGGTAAATTCATTGCCTTTTCTGAGCCTCAGTTCCCTCCAGCACCTCCATGTGCCCTGGTACCTTGTGGGGAACAGGGTGAGGATCATGTTTGTGGATGATGGAACAGTAAAGTGTAGTGGGCTCTCTGCATCTGGAGAATGGGAACTGGAAGATAAGAAGGCTGACTAAGGGACTTGAACATTTGCAGATTTTGGTATCCTTGGGGGTGGTCCTGGGAACCAATACTCCTTGGATACTGAGGGATGACTTTATTATTCTGCTAATCATTAAAGAATCTCACCTGACAGAGGCCCTTGGGATGAGGCCCCGCAACATGGGGATAGGAGTGTGGGATGTATGATGGGTCTTCCCTGCCAATGGAAGCAAGAGGCATCCACTTGAACCTGAGATTTCTCAATAAAAAGAGGAAGATCATCTATGGCCAGGGTCAGGGCTCAGATTGTAACCAGCAGCTCAGAGGTGTCTGCCCACATGTAGTACTCCAACCCCCCCCCCCCACACACACACACGCACACACACACACATACACATACACACTCGACCCAGCCATGGCTCTGGAGGTTATTTTAAAAACTTGACCACATTCAGCTACAATAAAAAGGATTGTTGATGTCAAAGTGACTCATTTTAAGGTGTGGTCTTTGTTTTGTTTTTTTAAATACCACACTTTAGTCTACAGTCTGGAGACAAACAGCAATGAGTCTGAGGTTCAGAGTTGTTGATAGGTATCAGACCTCAGTATGTGGTTAGGATTAGGGCTCAATAAAGGACCAGGGTCAGGCAAGAGTTAGAGGTCTGTAATGGCACTAACCTTTATTGGCCCTGAATACCCCTAGCCTCTTACTCAACAGGCTCTTCTAACTTCCCTGGACTGCACAGTTGGCTCGTGGACTGGCCTAGAGAGGAAGGGCCAGGCCAGAAATGCTTTGTGGAGCCATCTGTGCAGTGTTTATTGAAACCGAGCCTGCGATGGGGGAGGCAGCTTCTAGGACTAAATGCTGGATCTCATGAGGCTTCAAGCCTGGCTGACCACCCTCACATGTTGCTGAAGTATAGGGGGTGATTCCTGTTTTCCTCACTTCTCCCTCAGAGGCTTTTAGGAACCAGTGGGTGAGAACCAGCTAGACACCAAGGTATCCCCTTGCTTTGAAGGCCTGAGGAGCCCTTGGAAAATGACTGCAGGCATTCCTGGGGGCTTGAGTAATGGGACCTAGGCTGGCCAAGATGGCTCCATCAGCCAGGAGCCACCTCATCCTCACCCACCCCAGTGTTCCAAGACTTCTCTTCATTCCAAGGGGGTGAGGTCACACTGGCTGCCTAGACTTGGTCCCCACATGAGGCTGGGGCCCCAGGTCGGGCAGGGGTACAGTCTGGGACCCCAGGGGACATGTGAGGGATGGTTTGCAGGAAGACACCTCTGTGAAAGGCTTAGAAGCTAAAGTGCCCTCTTCTGCCTCATTTTCTGGGCCTACAAGCTGACAAGGGGGTTTTGGTATCCAGAAGAGTGAGCTGGAAGCCTGTACACAGAACAGAAGCCCCCCTGCCTTGCTTGTCTCCCAAGAGCAGAGGGCTTGAAAGAAGTTAGGAGGAGCTTACAACCTTGTTTCATCTTTATCTGCCAGAATCCCCGAAGCCTAAGAGGGGAGAGGATATAGAGGCCCAGGCTCACTTTTCTGTAAGTCATTGACCCAGCAGGGGCCCAGGGCTCTGGAATCCTCCTGCCCATCTCCCACCATACCCCATACCTCACCACTCCCACACTCCCAGCATCAAGATTTATTTCATGCAGATGGGGTCTGGAGTTTTAATTCTTAAAAGCCTTAGTGGGAGGGTTAAGGAGGAAGGAAGGTCAAATGGACAGATCCTGGCATATCCTGAGAGCAAGTGATCACAGGGGTGCAGAAGACTCCATACTTCCCCTGAGATCTCCAGGAGAAGAAGCCAGGTGCCCTCAGATTGGAGGCCAGAAGCTGCAGGCAGGGGAAGGAGGGTGTGATCCTGTCTGGGGGAAGATGACTGGAAGAAAGGAGTGGGGCTGGGTGCCCAGGCTGAGAACACTGCCTGGTCAGCAGCCTGCTCTTTGGATATGTTTTCCTTCTAGCCCGTCCCTTCCTGCCCACCCCTACTTCTGCCAGCCAACATTCACCTAGCTTTCCCACAACACTGCTGGGACTCATTTGGGGCCAAAAGCCCAGAGTTATCTTGGTGGTTTATGAAAAAAGCTAGGCAAGAGGAGCAGAGGGTGTCTGGAGGCTGATGCAGAGACTTGGGGAATAAGGACATGGAGGAAGATGTCTCTGTCAGGAAATTACTTGGTTCATGCAAGTCTTGCCTCTAGGTCTTGTCCATGCTGTCCCCCCTTACCAAGAACACCCTTCCCTCTTTTCTGGCTCTCCACATTCTGCCCTATCCCCTAGCTCTTACTCATGTCCCAGCTCTGCTAGCAGGTCTCAGCACTCCCACAGCGCAGAGCTCCAGAGGTGAGCTCCTGCTCCCTGACTTCGCTGACCCATACCTGAACCTAGGGAGAAGGGCTCACATCCCACACCTCGCCCAGGCTGGGAGGCCTGTGTAGAGGAAGAAGAATGACAAAGGGTGTTTGGGGTTGGGGAGGTCTCTGGGCATTAACCATGGCCAGCCTGACTCTTAATGTCACGCTCTTCTTCCCTCCTCCCTTTCTCCCACTGCTCATTCCCAGGTCTCCCTGACTTGGTCCCAGACCCCAACTATGTGCAAGCGTCCACCTATGTCCAGAGAGCCCACCTGTACTCCCTGCGCTGTGCAGCAGAGGAGAAGTGCTTGGCCAGGTAAGGAACTGAGAATGAAGCTTGGAGCATTGGGACAATTCCTAGGAGTCACCCAGAACTTGCATGCGAGGCTGCCAATGTCCAAGTGCCTGACTGGCCAAGTGTCTGAGCTTCTCAGGACCTGGTCCTCACCATCTATGAGCTTTGCCTGCTACAAGGGAGTCAGGAGGGGAAGGGAGCAATCTTTTATCCAGCAATTGTCACTATACAAAGAAGCTTCCTTTTACTGTGGCTTTTAATCTTCATATCAGCCCTGAAGATATGTGTTGAGCAGGGCAGGAAACTGAGGTGCAATAATAGGAACTAAAACTTTTTCTTTCTAAGCTGCCTCATAAGAAGAGTTCAGGTTCCCAGTGCTTCTACGAGGACCTGGGAAGTCCTCAGGGAGACCCAGGACCTGGGATATAGCAGTGATAGTGGGCATGGGTGACAAAGAGGCCTCAATTATGTGTGGCACCAGAGAGGGAAAAGAGACCAGTTTACATGACCCCAAAGGCAAGCACAGCCAACTCTCCATTGTTCCCAGGTGATTCTGCTTCCTACAGAGCTAGTTTCTAACTTCATAAACAGTGAATATTTTATTCAAATATGTATGCCTTGGGGACACCTCCCTGTGCTAAATAACTAGTTCAATATTACATTGACCTACCTCTTTTGTTGACATTTCTCTATTCTGGGAGCACCTAGTTTTCTTAATTACTTGCTTTGTTTAGACATTTGAACTCTTTGTTTACTTTTATTTATTTATTTTTAGTCTCTGGAAAGCCCTTTGGAATTTAAACTCTTTCTCACTATGGAACTTCTAGTCCACTGCCACTCAGAATAGCTGACCACAACTGTTATCTCTGTGACAATATAAGGAGATTATACCAGGATATAGCCCAACTCACTGCTTCATTCATCAAGAAAATCTGGCTTCAAAAAAGGCACTTTCAGCTTAACTAAACATTGTGATTAGTAATATAGTTGATTTACATGCTGGTGCAAGTTCCTTATCTCATTACAAACTGGCAACAAAGAGTGTGTGAACTAGCAACAATCCTGGGACTACACCTTGAGTACCATTCAGTTGTCCATGGAAAGAACACAGTGATGATGCTCCTGCTATGGTTCCTTCAGCAGTGAGTAATTCAGCCTCCGTGGCAATCCATGAAGGCTGAGTTTTGAGGAGCTTGAGCCAAAATCCAACTATCTTCATTGGAGCATCCCCTGTGTCCAGACCTGAGTTCCTGCATGGGCTGGACAGGAGGCAACCAGGCACAGTCCTGCCAGGGATGTCCTGGTCCTGCCAGAGAGACATGCCCCAAGGACAGAACCAGGCACCTGGGAGAGGGAGGAGAGCTAGCATGAGCAGTGTGCAGGCTGGAGTAAGCTAGGCGAGATCAGCAATGGCTGAGGCATCTGAGGAAGTTGGATGCAGAGTACAGACTTAGAAAACTAGGCAAAACTAAAGCCCTGAAACCCAGAGCACTCAGATGTCATTGAAGTGTGGGCTGCAGGTGCCAGAGCACATATGGCCAGCAGGACCCAAATAAGGGAAGGGACTTGTTCCAAATCTCACAACAAGTTTGTGGCCTAGCTGGGCCTAGAACCTTGATGGTTTCCAATGTTGTGCTGAGTGGAACAGAAGGATGGTATTGAACACAGCAGGGGGGGAGGAGGATGTCTGTTCCAACCCAGACACAGATGGATTGCAAGCATCCTCCAGACAAGACCCAGGACCTTATGTCCTGGCAGAGAGGAGCCTGCAGTGCCTATTGTCCAGAGAGAGCCAATCCCCACAAATGGCCACCTTCTGCCTCTGGACTTAAGGCCCAGACCTTAATGAATGCCAGAGAAGTGCTCCTGAGGACAACCAGGACAGCCATCTCAGTTGGGAATTGGGGTCATAAGTGAATTGGGAGTCAGCAGACTGAACCAGAGCCATATCTTTTGAACAGAAAAAGGCAGGTCGGTGAAGCCATACAATCAGGTAGAGGTGACCTAGTGACATGGACCTAGCCTGGGGAGAGTGTGGATCACTATTAGAACTCATAAGCAGTCACAATTCCTTCAAGTGGAGCAATCAGAGCAGAATTTCTTAGGGAGGGGAATTGAGTTGGCCTAGGACAGTGGTCGGCAAACCACAGCTCTCAAGCCACATGCGGCTCTTTGGCCCCTTGAGTGTGGCTCTTCCACAAAATGCCACATGCGGGTGTGCAGGAACAGTGTGATTGAAACTTTGTGGCCCATGCACAGAAATCAGTTTTCAGCCTGGGCGAGTCTGTTTTGAAGAAGCAGCATTAGAACACTCAAGGAGCCAAAGAACCGCATGTGGCTCGTGAGCCACAGTTTGCCAAACACTGGCCTAGGAGGCTGAGCGAGTTCTTAATCAAGCAAACAGCATGGGCAAAAGTATAAATTAGCAAAAGAATTAAGTCTGTTTGAGAAACAATGTTTGAAGCTGGAACCAGTGTGTGGGGAGTAGAAAATAGGACTAAGAAAGTGAAGAGGCTTTGACATTGAAGAGACTGAGCCTGATTCTTAGAACCACAAACAAGATGTGACACACTAGTCAACAATTATGACTCTGCTCAGAATCTCCTGGATAGGCCCATTTTTATTGTTTTTTAAAAATATGTTTGTATTGATTTCGGAGAGAGGAAAGGAGAGGGAGAGAGAGAGAGAATCATTGATTGTCTGCCTCCTGAGCCTTCCTGAAATGCAGGGGTCAGATATCACAATCATCAGGAACAAATTCTGGGTTTCAGTGCCCTGGTTCCCAATCCTACTCCCGTATTTCCACCTGTCTTTGCAGCACAGCCTATGCCCCGGAGGCCACTGACTATGATGTGCGGGTGCTGCTGCGCTTCCCCCAGCGGGTGAAGAACCAGGGCACAGCGGATTTCCTCCCAAACCGGCCGCGGCACACTTGGGAGTGGCACAGCTGCCACCAGTGAGTGGGGTCAATGGCCTCTCCCACCCCTCCTCTGGGCTGGAGGACTTGCCCCAGCTCCCCTCCTAGGGGGTGCGAGGGAGGTGCTGGTAGGAGGGCCCATGAGGTGTTTTCTGCCAAGAATCCATCACTGGGGCAAGAGTTTCTCAAAGGAGCCTTAACAAAAGCTGGAAGAAGGGACTTGGAAGAATCTATCTTTAAGGGATGGAAATGTCTACAATAAAGGGCATTTGCCCAAGGGAGTAGCTGCACAGAAGTAAGTGAGAAGTTCTGAAGGGGTACTCTCCTAGGGTGACCTGGCTAATTGAGGACAGGAGAGATGCTGCCCTGTGGGACACTGGAGGGCAGGAGCCCAGACTGGTCAAGAAGCTGTGTCACAGCAGGATCACTTGGGCCCATCTCAGGAGGGGGATGGGATGGGAAGCACCAGGGTGACTAGGCCTTCTCTGTTCTGTCCTGTGCCTCCAGACACTACCACAGCATGGACGAGTTCAGCCACTATGACCTGTTGGATGCAGCTACAGGCATGAAGGTAGCCGAGGGCCACAAGGCCAGCTTCTGCCTGGAGGATAGCACCTGTGACTTCGGCAACCTCAAGCGCTATGCCTGCACCTCACATACACAGGTTGTGCTAGAGATGCAGGGCAGGGGCATAGGGTGCAGGATGCAGCCGCACCTGGGAGCTGGAGGAACAGACAGTAAAGCAGCCTGGGCCAAGCTGAAGGGCCAGTGCCAAGGCCCCTGGCCACTCAGCTCAACAGAATGGGGGGTCTTCTTTCCAATCCTTGGGACACCACAGGGCCCCTTGGGGACTCTTTCCTCTCCCCCAACCAGACCCTTTCCTACATCATTCCCAGAGTGTCTACTCAAGGAAAGAATAAAACATTCCAACAGAGTAGGATGGCATGATGTTCCAGTTGCCTATTTGTCTACCCAGCTCTGTCTTTCTGTCTGTCTGCCCAAACACCACAAAGTGCCCATCTATCCTCCATCCATACCCTTCTTCATTTGATCCCTATAATCCTGTACTTATATTTATTATCTCTCTGGTCCATCCTCCCTGTGGGATTAAGGAGGAGCAGACCCACTCTCAGCAGTTGCCTTAGACCGGGGTCAGGGCAAAGCAAAAAGGAAGGAGGGCCCATGGCTGGAGTGGTCATGAGGCCTTCTGAGGAGTATATAGTACCTCACCGTCTACTCTGTTCTCAGGGCCTGAGCCCAGGCTGCTATGATACTTACAACGCGGACATCGACTGCCAGTGGATTGACATAACTGATGTGCAACCCGGCAACTACATCCTCAAGGTGGGCCTTCCAGCCTGGAGCACCCCCTCCAGCAGCCTAACGCTCACATCAGTGTTCCCACCTCTGAGATCTGCTTCAGCTTTTGGGCATGTTCCCCTCTTCCCAGCAGCTGAGCAGAAGCAGCATGTTGGGGCATCTTGCATAGGTCTGCTCTTCTCACATGAAGGTCTCAGACTGGGGCAGACACAGCCTCTTTCCATAAAGACATCGAGGACCACTGGTGTTAGAAGAGGTGATGACTCTGTCTTCCCTAAGCAAAAGGGGACTTGGTCCGTGGTCAGTAAAGGCCATCTGGAAGAGGACACCACCCTCTGAGAGAAACCTTCAGCTCTTCACAGTGACCCTGCAAAGCCTGAGGCTCCAGTGACTGAGTCCTTCCAGCCTAAACTCCACCTCCAATGCTCACTTGCTCCAGTGCCCCTTCCTTGGGGAACAGGTAGAAAAGCACATTGAGGACACACTGCTCAATGTGGTATATCCCTGCGCAGGCTGTGCAGGACTGAGCCTCAAGACCTCACCTGAGGAAGGCAAATCTCAGCCTCCCTTCGCACAAGTGTGCAGTGAGGGTGGGGGTCATTGTGCCAGGTCCCCTGAACCCATTGTTCATAGAAGGAGGAGTAATGAAGACGGGCTTTGGAGACAGCTTAACTTGCATGAAGGTGGATGCCAGGGGCAGCCCATCCTAAGTGCCTCTCAGGAGTCTCCATGGGCCTCTCTTGACCTCACCAAGGGCCAGGGTTTTCAAGGGCATTCTGTCCTTCCTTCATCCACTCATTAAACATGTGCAAAGGCCCCTATGAATTTTGGGAGCTGGGAATTCAACCATAAGCAATGCACAGTTCCCACCCTTAAGGAATGTATAAGGACTTAAAAGTAATATCTTTCCACCTGACTTAAATGTTATGCTGTATTTGCTGAATGCAGCCTACCCCAGGGAACCACCCCACCCCATAATAACCCAACATTTTAAAGGCTTCCTTGTGTCTGGATAACTCTTCAGGAAAAAAGTGCAGGTTATGCTTGTGCCATCATCTCAGTGAGTGTAGGGAACCTTGGGCTCCAGGGCAGGGGATGCCACCTGGCATCCGACAAGCCTTCAATGGGTCATATAGACAGGCATGTGTGGTGAAAGGCTGAGAGCCTTGGAGTTGGGAGACCAGGCATGGGATCCCTGCTTGGCCCCTCACTCCCTGCTGTGTACCTCATGGCAGTGACTCAACCTCTCTGACCCCGAATGCCCCATGCTGCGCTGTGGGGCCCACCAGGCCTGAGCTGTGGCTCTGGGGAAGCTTCCCATTTTATCTAATAAAAGAGTAATATGCAAATTGACCATCACTCTAATACACAAGATGGCTGCCCCTATGTGGTCAAAGATTCTGCCCCCATGTGAACACAAGATGGCCACCACAAGCTGGCCTGCAGGGGAGAAAAGTTGGGAGGGACCAGGCCTGCAAGGGAGGGCAGTTGGGGGTGATCAAGCCTGTAGGAGAGGGCAGTTAGGGGTGACCAGGCCTGCAGGGGAAGGCAGTTAGGGGCAAACAGGCTGGCAGAAGAGCAGTTAGGTATCAATCAGGCTGGCAGGGGAGTGTTTAGGGGGTGATCAGGCTGGCAGGCAGAAGTGGTTGGGGCAATCAGTAAAGCAGGCAAGTGAGCAGTTGGGAGCCAGTAGTCCTGGATTGTAAGAAGGATGTCCAACTGCCTGTTTAGGCCCAATCCCGGTGGGCAGTCGGACATCCCTGAGGGGTCCCAGATTGGAGATGGTGCAAGCTGGGCTGAGGGACACCCCTCTCTGTGCACAAATTTCATGCACCGGGCCTCTAGTCTTCTGAGAAGGATGGTCTGATATGTTCTTTGACTATGACTGTCTCTTCTCTTCTCCCTCTGTTTCTCTGCATCTCCCCATGTCCCTCCATCAGTATATCTCTGTTTCTGTCTCCACTTCCTTGTCTTCCTCTCTTTGTTCCGTGTGTGTGTGTGTGTGTGTGTGTGTGTGTGTGTGTATCTGCCTATCCAGCACCTTCCCTGATGACCAAGTGAAGCACTGCCCCCTGACCTTTTCTCTGTTCCCTCCAGGTGCACGTGAACCCTAAGTACATTGTTTTGGAGTCTGACTTCACCAACAATGTGGTGAGATGCAACATCCACTATACAGGTCGCTATGTTTCTACGACAAACTGCAAGATTGTCCAGTAAGTGCTTCCCCAGCCTGCCCTGTCCCAGCCCCTTTCCTGCCTGGGGAGCAGGCTGGCCACACAAAACACACAAAATACAAGGTGATTTGAATCACCTTGATGGCCAAACACAGCTGCAGTTGGGCCCAGCTCACAGGATGAACAGGAGAACCTTGTCTGTGCCAGCCCTAAGCTGAGTGCTGTGGTGGGGCTCAGGCTGCAGAGTTGATCTGCAGTGTGGCTCTCTAAGATTTCTTAAGTGGGAACCAGCAGGAGGCAGCTTTGTTGGGAAAACATGCACAGGCACTGCAATCCCACTTCTGTGACTTCCTGGCTCTGTGACGTTGAACAGTTCATCTCACCTCTCTGAGCTCCTTTTTCAACAAGGAAAAAAAATAGCCATTTTTTATATCCCACGTGGGCTTATTTAAAGGCCTTATGTCTGTGTGTGTTTGAGAACCTTTCAGAGTAGCACTTAACGAATGGTAATTGATCATTAGTGTCCTTATCAAGTAGATTGAATTAAACAGTCCCAGGTTAGAAGTGATTCTGGTTGGAATGAACCATCATCAATCTCTGAGCCCCAACACTGAGTTGATAAACTCTAGCTCCCTTGCTCCCCTGGGCCTGCAGGCCCTTCCCCCTGAGCCCTTCACATAAATGCTTGGAGAGGCTCCGGTCTTGTCAGAGTGTTTCTGTGACACTAACCTCTGTGAGCTACTGGCCCAGGAGCCTTCTCACCTATGGATTTCAATCTTGTTTCTGAAGAGGAAAAAAGGCTTTAAAAATATTTATTTAGTTAGAAAGAAAATATTTCTGGTATTTCTCTGCCTAGGAAACAGTCTGGGCCCAGCCAGCATGGCTCAGTGGTTGAGCATCAACCTATGAACCAGCAGGTCAGGGTTCAATTCCCAGGTTGTGGGCTTGATCCCCTGTGGAGGGTGTGCAGGAAGCAGCCAATCAGTGATGTTTCTCCTCATTGTTTCTATCTCTCTATCACTTTTCCTTCCCCTTTCTCTAAAAAAGTCAATAAAAACATATTTCTCAAGGAAAGGAGAAAGGAAAGGAGGGAGGGAGGTTGGGAGGGAGGGAGAGAGAGAGGAAGGAAGGAAGAAGGAAGGAAGGAAGGAAGGAAGGAAGGAAGGAAGGAAGGAAGGAAGGAAGGAAGGAAGAAAGAAAGAAAGAAAGAAAGAAAGAAAGAAAGAAAGAAAGAAAGAAAGAAAGAAAGAAAGAAAGAAAGAAAGAAAGAAAACTATATGGGGCTAGGCTCATGGTTGGCAAACTGCGCCTCTCGAGCCACATGCGGCTCTTTGGCCCCTTGAGTGTGGCTTTTCCACAAAATACCACATGCAGGCATGCTGGTACAGTGTGATTGAAACTTCGTGGCCCATGCGCAGAAATCAGTTTTCAGCCTGGGCGAGTCTGTTTTGAAGAAGTGGCTTTAGAAGTTTAAGTTTAAAAAATTTGGCTCTCAAAAGAAATTTCAGTCCTTGTACTGTTGATATTTGGCTCTGTTGACTAATGAGTTTGCCCACTGCTGGGCTAGGGCACGGGAAAGGGTGGTGTTGAGACCCTGTTCTGGGCGGGAGTCCATGAAACTCTTCTTGGACTTGGACTGAGGGGCCTCTCTCCCCAAGCCCAGATTACTGAGAGGAACAAAACCTGTGCCTGCTCTCCCACGTGGGATCTGGGTTGTGGAGGGAAGTCTTTGGGCAGGGGAGGCAGTTGGGGGTCTTGCCAACAGTGGAGTGAGAGGCCTTACCCAGAAACCTGCCTCTCTTTCTCTCCTTAGAGCCTGATCTTCGAGAAGGTGGACAACTGCCAACCTCCCCGCTTCCCAAAGCAGGTCCTGATTATCAGGCAGCCTCCCTCCAGGACACACCTGGTCCAAGGGATACAACCCCATCCACCACAGGAAGGGGCAGCTGAACACAGGGGCACCTCTCTCTACCGGCCTCAGGGAGTGAACCTGGACCGAAACCACAGGGATTCCAGGTGCCAGGCCCAATTTCATACTTAAGTTTTCACTACAACATTATTTTGTTGGTTGTTGGTTTTTATTTTTTATATTTTGACCATACCACAGAGGAAGATTGCCCAGACCTGGGCTGAATAAAACAAGGTTTTTCTACTCTGTGGCTCTGCACATGCCTGCCGCGGGGCTGGCCAAAGAAGGCTAGGGTGGGCTCAGGGGACAACATGAGACTTCCTCTTTCTCCTAGCAGAATTCAGAAAGAGCAGCCACTACCCACCAGGACAACAGCTTGACCAAGAGGGCATCAGGCCCACTGTGGAAACTTGCAGCGGTTCATCCCAAACCACGTTCTGTGTAGGAAGAGGATTCCCTTGGGAGAGGGGTCTCTGCTCAGTATCCCACTCCTTCCCTACCTGTCCCCTGCCTCATTCTACCGGCTACTCACTCACATGTTGAGCACCTACTGAAAGCTGGGTCTGTGCTTAGAGTACATACTGGAGAATCAGGCACAATTCCTGCTATTAGAGTTCACAGGAATAGAGCACACTACACCTAGTGAGACAACTCCTGGGGGTGAAGGTGGAGTCTTCACATGGGAGGGGATCTCCCAGGAAGGGAAGGAATAAGGGTATGCTGGGCAGAGGCGATGGAGACAGAAGGCACAGATGCAGGAAAGCCCTTGACTGCTGCAGCCCTTCCTCTCCAGCTTCGTCTGTGGTCTTCCTGAGGTCCTGGACACTGAGTCATGGCAGGAAGAAGCAGGAGAGTGGCCTCTCCTCTCCCTTCCCTTCCCACAGCCCTCAGGATACCTCTGCACCCACCTGCCCCTGCCAGCTCCCTGCCTATCCAGGGGAGAAACTAGTGAAAAAAAGGCCAGAGACATCCAAGAAGCAAGGCTTGGTCCAGGGGCTTCCTCCTGCTCACTGGCTCTGTGACTCTGGGCAAGTCATGCTACACCTTGGGCCTTGGTTTCCTCAGCATCAAGTGGGAGCACTCCTGCCAGGCTCACACGATGAAATGGAGAGCCAGTGTGCTGCAGCCACAGGGACAGTGCTAGGTGAGCTGCAGAGGGCTGCACCTAGCCCTCCAGGTCACTGTGGACTGCCACCTGTTTGCATCCAGTGCCCCCAAAGGAGAAAGTAACCCCTCTTTTGGCTCTCATGCAATTTATAACTCAGGGTCCCTGACAGTAACTAGGTCTTCCAATGAGATGAGGAGGGAAGGCTTCTTGGAGCCATGCTGAGCTGCCAGAAGAATCTTGGCCCCAGCCCCCTGAGTCCTTGGGCCACTCCTATCCCAGACACAGAATGGAGTGGAGCATGGCCCCAGCCCTTTCCACCTTCCCTCACTAAGGCTTTCTAGATCAGCTCAGAGGGCACTTCACCCTGCCACCCTCCATCCAGGGCTGGGCCAAGAGGCCTGAAGAGAGAAGGCGAAAGCCCATCATCCAATGGTCATCGTCCTGCTGTGTACCCCTTACCCACATATGCCTCAGAGATGCTGTCTTGATTCCAGCCCCACCCCTCTCCATTCTAGATGCCCCCCAAGAGTGAGCAAAGGAGAACTCAGGCAAGGATCACCCTGTCCCTGACTATCAGAGGACCCTGAGGTGGAGTTAAAAGTCCCCAATTCCCAGGTCATCATGGAAGCCCAAAATGGGAGCCTGTTTGAGGCTACAGACTCAGCCAGTGCTCAAGAAAGGCTCCTGGGGATACACAGTGCTCCGGGGACTCTGGACAGGCTAGAGGGCTTGCTGGAAGAGGAGGAGGGGAGGAGGAGCAAGACCAGCTTCCCTAGCCGAACCGAGAAAGGGTTATTTCTTGAAAGTGGATTTTTAAGAAAATTTGCCGGTTGGTGAGGGCCTTGGCACCAACCAGGGACCCTCTTGGTTCCTGGCAATGCCTGTGTGCCCACTTGAACTTGTCACTCAGCACCACACAGGGCTTTCCAAGAAAGTGAGAATGGCATGGTGAGCAAGTCATCTCCATTCCTCAGTCAGAACCTCCTCCCTGTATCCTGATGTGTAAGAATCTATCTGGGCTGCAAAGAGCCTCTCAGTCACCTGCCTCAAGCCCCTCCTCCTCAACTTGCTCAGCCCTGGAGCTGAGAGGCTCACCGCCTCTCAGACACTGCTGTGAGCAGCACTGGTAGAGGAGATGGACCTCCCATCAGCCTATCTCTGGTCGGCCTCAGAATTTATTAAGTTCTAATAATTGGAGTGAGGGTGGGTGAAGGACACAGAGGTGGGGGACCTGGCTGTGGTGCTAACTCTGTCTTCAATTGGGCCTCAGTCTCCCATCTGTGTCCTGAGGGGCTTGGCTCCTTGAGCTCCAGGGCTGCTCTATTAGAGAAGGTGGGAAACGGAAGGGGAGGGAGAGGTAACAAGCAAAGCCCAGCCTGTGTGAAGGCAGGAGAGGTAGACTGCTCCGCGTAGAGCCCTCTGCGTTGCCCTCACTCCACAAAAATCCCGCCTTGTTTGAAAAGCTATTTGGGCCTATGTCAAGGAAGCATCTCAGAACCACAGTATGAATGGTAGAACTGGCCTGACATTCTTCCTGGCTTTTAGGTGAGGAGCCCTTACTCCATCAGACTGACTTTTAAGAGAGCATGTTAATACGCTGTTTGGCCAGGGACGGGAGATTGTGAAGATATTTGTAGATTTCATGAAAACAAAGTTTGACTCTCACTCTCGATGGGAAGAAAGCCCAGGGCCCAGTGCGACCCTCCCCACCTTCCCCTCTCCCCCACTCCTTCCCCTACCCCTCCTTTTCTCCCCACCCTCCCAATCCCCCCATTCCTCCAACCCCCCCCCCCCCCCCCCCACTGAAAGTCTTTCAGTCTCTCGGCCCAATCCCATGGCATCCACACTAGCAGACAGGCCATGCCCAACACCCAGCTCAGGGAGGGTCCTGCTTGCTCTGCTGATTCCAGACTGATTGAGGTAACAATGCCTGCCTCTCTAACCTGGGATGGGGGGCTACTTCGCAGCTCCCTCCAGGCATCTCTCTTCTTTTGTTGTCAAAACAAGAGACCAAGGTGCCCTTGGCTATCCATTCATAGTCTCTGAGGCCTGCTGGTCATGCACAGGAGTGGGCTCCTCACTATGGCTGCGTCTGGGCACACACCACAGCCACAGCATATGTTGGAAATCATCACACAGCTCTCTGCAAACCCCTTGGCATCCCCCAGATTGAGTCATGCAGGAGGAGCCCATGGCAGGCCTGGCCAGCAGAGAGGTGCTACCCCCAACCAGGGCCTTGCTGAAGCCTGTGTGGATACAGCTGTAGAGAGCAGCCAGAACCTGGGACTCAAGGGCACACATGACACATGCTACCTGGAATTTGCAAAACTTTCTGAAAAAGAGAAGGTCTTGAAAAAGCTTTAATTCTGAAACACAAAATATGGAAGGCAGTGGAAGCAGTTGCGGATTTTGGCACTCATATATCCTGACTATAGGAAATCAATTCTTTTTTTTTCCCCTTTAATTTTTTCAAAATAAAGTGTAATCTGCTTTGAGCCACTGGATGCCAAGAGGAAAATTCAATGTACTGAGTCATTTTACTCTCACCCCAGAACACAGAGGAGCCCTATGGTCTTCAGTCCCCTCTATCTCACATAGGCTTGTTGATTGAACCTCCGAGGACAGGCATCTCCAATTCCCACCTGGTCTGGGCACAGGACACCAGTCAGTCTTATCATCCCTCAAGGTTCACCATGACCTCAGGGTGCTGCCAGGCAAGGACACTATCCTTGCTATGGAGCAGAGCCTTAGCCCATCACCCAGCTCTTCCAACCTCTTTCCTCTGCCTGCTTCTACTATGTCCTCCTTAGCTCCTCTCTCCACTCAAGGATACAAAGTTTCAATTATAGAAGATAAAATCCCAAGAAAAATGGCCGCAGCCATGGAGCTGGAGAGAACAGGCTAGGGATGCCCCCGGAAACAGAGGAAGCCAAGCTTCCACCTACCCTGACTGGCCGAGGCCTCCACTCCAGGCTACAAAGTTTCAATTATAGAAAATACATAAAACCAAACAGAAATGGCAGCAGTCAGAGTGAGCAGGAGGCTTGGCTCTGCTCCAGGCTACAAAGTTTCAATTGTAGCCGAAACCGGTTTGGCTCAGTGGTAGAGCGTCGGTCTGTGGACTGAAAGGTCCCAGGTTTGATTCCGGTCAAGGGCATGTACATTGGTTGCGGGCACATCCCCCAGTAGGGGGTGTGCAAGAGGCAGATGGTCGATGTTTCTCTCTCATCGACGTTTCTAGCTCTCTATCTTTCTCCCTTCCTCCTCTCTGTAAAAATATCAATAAAATATATTTTTTTTTAAAAAGTTTCAATTGTAGAAGGTAAATAAATTCCAGATATCAAGGCCTTCGCTTGGGTTGCCAGGGAGCATGGCTGGCCTGCAAACCACCATAGGCCCCTCGCCCAGGCAGCCCCACACCCCAAGGGAACCTCCACCCTGATCCGGGATACCCTTCCGGGCAAACCAGCTGGCCCCCACCAGTGCACCAGGCCTCTATCCTATCTAATAAAAGAATAATAAGCATATTGGCCATCACTCCAACACACAAGATGGCTGCCCCATGTGGTCAAAAATCCTGCCCCCATGTGGACACAAGATGGCCACCACAAGATGGCCAGCAGGGGAGGGCAGTGGGAGACACCAGGCCTGCAAGGGAGGGCAGTTGGGAGGCACCAGGCCTGCAAGAGAGGGCATTTGGAGGTGATCAACCCTGCAGGGGAGGGCAGTTAGGGGTGACCAGGTCAGCAGAGGATGAAAGTTGGGAGCAAATTGGCTGGCAGGGGAGCAGTTAGACATCAATC